GCGCATTGCAAGTCTCACTTTGCTGAATTGTGAAAAATCAGCGCACCACTCGTATAAAACCAAGTTTTAAGGAGATATAAAGTGAAGCTTTCTCTTCTTATGAGCATAAAAACGCCTTTTGATAACAACTGGTTTCGATGCGATAATTTTTTAAATAACGGCGGGCAAATTTTGGCGCAAAAGTCCTTGCAAGTCCCACTTTGAACATTTCTGAGCACTCAACGCAGAAATGCTCAAGTGCCCAAACTCGTGCTTTGCATCGGCATGAAGTAGGACTCAATAAAATTCTGAAATTTTAGGCGGATCTCGAGTCAGATATGTCTATATCAGGGATTGTCTGCAAACACCGTGCGCAATCCGAATGGGAGACACCATTCAAGCTCATATTATTCCTGAGAATATTGGTAAGTTTGGCGATTTCTCACCGTTTTGAGCCTCAAAAGACGAGACTTAATGCCACTTTCAGATACTCCGGTGCTTCAAACGAACGTTGAAGCAGGCTTGATTCAAGTTGGGGCGTATTTTGCCCAAACTGCCGTGTGCCTGAATCCATGCATTTCTTCTTGCACTTTAACGCCTGCAGCTGAAACTTCGGCCGAACCAAGCGAACCCAAGTTTGACTTAAATATCACCATCTCCAACTCTCTTATACAAGTAAGTTCAGACAAATTACAGCTTTTTTGGAAGGCACAAAGTGTTTTTTCAGCTGCCTTCGACTCTGCGAATCAACACCAGATACATTGACTATCTTGGGCAAAGTTCCCGGTTTTGCATCGAAGTTTCAACCACAGTAATTCGCTGATTTGCCTGCAGATCCCCAGCTACATGGAGTGTATGGGGGATTAACATATTTTGTATTAATTACAATTAAACGATTGAAACCAGTGAAATTGAGCGAGATTTTCGCTATTTCTTACAAAACTGATCCTTCAGCAAGGCCAACTTGGGAGCATTCGCTCAGCAAATGATGCCTTGTAATCACACCGATTATGCTTCGTCAAGGCGAATGATACAATCCATCTGAAAATAGCTCGAATTTAATAAATGATTAATCAGACAATTTAAATCCAGAAATTGATTGTATATGTTTGGGTTCGCGACAATTAGCCGAGGATTGAAAACATTGACTTAGAGATTAGCTGTTCACTGTAGCAAGTCGGGAAATGCAGACTAGATTTAAACCAATTAGTGCTGCCTATTTTGGCCCACAAAATACGCTACTGTGCGTCTTGACGAGAATTGAACAAAAAACGCAAATTTTACACAAGCGAGCTTTTAATGATACCCAAAGCGCAAGAGCGCAACATGGTTTCAACACACATGCATTTATTTTGGATATTTTTGTGCAAAGAAAACCCCAATGGGAAATACCTGGATTGAACTCAACTTTCATATTTATATAAATCTGTAATTTATAGACTTTGAAAGTGTATTCTTCCGACGGAAGTTTGCCAATCGTGCTTCATTCAATGGCTTTTCAGAAGCGAAGCATTGGAGACTCGAGCAGCAACAGCATGGACGGCATGGAAATTTCATTCGAAAACTGTTCTACTTTTCTCGATTGAAACACTCATGAAAATTATTTTGATTTATCACGTCTGACTCAAATAAAACACGAGCTTTGCGAAGTTATTTAACGCGATTTAAGCCCGTCTCCCATGCATCCGTTTATACGATGGTACGATGATAGGAAAGTGTTTCTATTGGTTGGAGATCTGTCAATTTGTCCGCCGTCTTACGAACGGAGGACGAATTGACAGATCTCCAACCAATAGAAACACTTTCCTATCATCGTACCATCGTATAAACGGATGCATGGGAGACGGGCTTTGTTCGCTTTTTCAAACTATCATCATTGAAGATTTAATTCCCACTGTTGGGGGATTTTTAATTTTTCCAGCTCTTCATCTCTATCAGTAAAGGTCGATTGATTTGCGATTCATTTTTCAAGTCAATTTCTTTGACAGAAATCGCACTGGATGTTGATTTTTGGCTGCTGTTTAAGCGCGAGGCTAAAAATAAAAGTTTCCAGCCAAAGACGCGCTCTCCGTAAAAAAATCGTAACTTCTAACCGGGGGCAAGTGCGAACCTGAAAATTTTCCTTAACATAGCGAACGTTTGTATCTTAGAACTGAGGCATTTTCATTGAAATCGCACTGAATGTTGATTTTTTGCTGCTGTTTAAGCGCGAGGCTAAAAATAAAAGTTTCCAGCCAAAGACGCGCTCTCCGTAAAAAAATCGTAACTTTTAACCGGGGGCAAGTGCAAACCTGAAAATTTTCCTTAACATAGCGAACGTTTGTATCTTAGAACTGAGGCATTTTCATTGAAATCGCACTGAATATTGATTTTTTGTTGCTGTTTAAGCGCGAGGCTAAAAATAAAAGTTTCCAGCCAAAGACGCGCTCTGCGTAAAAAAATCGTAATTTCTAAACGGGGGCAAGTCCAAACATGAAAATTTTCCCTTACATAGTGAACGTTTGTCTCTTAGAACTGAGGCATTTTCATTGAAATCGCACTGAATGTTGATTTTTTGCTGCTGTTTAAGCGCGAGTCTATAAATAAAAGATTCCAGCCAAAGACGCGCTCTCCGTAAAAAAATCGTAACTTCTAAACGAGAGCAAGTGCGAACCTGAAAATGTTCCTTAGCATAGTGAACGTTTGTATCTTAGAACTGAGACTTTTTCATTGAAATCGCACTGATTGTTGATTTTTTGCTGCTGTTTAAGCGCGAGTCTAAAAATAAAAGTTTCCAGCCAAAGACGCGCTCTCCGTAAAAAAACATTGAAGATTTAATTCTCACTGTTGGGAGATTTTTATTTTTCCAGCTCTTCATCTCTATCAGTAAAGGTCGATTGATTTGCGATTCATTTTTCAAGTCAGTTTCTTCATCTTCATGCTGTTTTGTCACCACAGATTACCGTTATAATCGTCAATACAGTTGATTGACATTGAGATCGACAAAAATTCCTATTCAAATTCGTTGAAATGAAATGCAATAAACCCGTTTCTGTTGGTAAATAATCGAATGCAGATTTCGGGTTTGCCGAGAAATAAATATCATTGGACTAATCACTTGAAAATCATCGATTTTTTCGAAACATTTACGTCGGTCGGATTAATTTGTCGCCTTAAATCATCGTAAAACTTGAGATTACAAGCCCCATATGCGTAAATGTTGGCGCTTTTCAATATCCCAGGTTTTTTTAACGTCTAATCTGTGTATTAAATAAAGTCAATAGCAACATCCACTAATTAGAATGTATTTAGTGAATATCCGGATTTTGCTGGATATAAATTTATATATAAGGGAACTCGGTGAATTTTTGCAATAATTAGTTTGGTAAGCGGCGGCAAAATGATTGGGTTTAGCGCGGTTCTCTTGCTGTTGTGCGGCTGCTTACCTCTGGTAAGGTGCGATATTGACTTTATGGACTGTGGTAAGTTGAATTTGCAGTAGCACTTTACTGGCCATGGATTGTTATTGTTTGATTTTAGGATCCGAAAGGGTTTACATTGATAAAATGGATATTCCGGGATGTGAGCAGGCTCCATGCAGCATCGAAAGAGGCTTCAACTACCTGGTCTATGTCGTACCGAGTTTTTTAGGTAGATTAATGAAGTGTGGGTTTTTGCTGTTGGTAATTGGTTTCTTTTGCTGTTTTCCAGAAGGTCCAGTCGATAGTATCGAAGTGACGGCATACGTAAGAATGTGGGGTGCATTGTTTGCAGTCCCAATCTCCAGTGTGAATCCCTGCGGATTTATTTGTCCGCTGCAGCAGTACATTGAGAAACCCACGTTAATTTTCAACGTTTTATTTCCAGAAACTCTCCAACGGGTATTGATGGGTTTGATGTTGTTTATCGTTTAATTTCAATTTTTCTCTGGCTTTTTAGCGTCGTGCTGACCTGGTGATTCGCGCTATTCACCGACATCGAGGCAGTGAACAAAGCGTGATTTGCGTCTCAACCGATATACAATTGCTATAGTGAAGCGGAAAATTGATCAAACTCTATTGCAATAATTGAAAATATAGATAAGCTCATGCATCGTACTGGATTGTTTATTGGTTCTCGAATTGAAGCAAATTCAAATTGTAGTAGATAGTGTAAGGAGTGGTTTTTTAAATACTACTAGGTGTATTTTGTTGTCTGAAAAATGGCTGTGATTTATCTATTTTAAGCAGTGAATACTCTCTTGAAACGTGTATTTTGATCTTCCAATTCATTGTGAATTGTTTGTGAATTTGATGTTTTATATCCATTTTTCTTGTTTGATTCTTCAATTAGTACAATTTTCAAATATTTTTCTGCGCAAACTCGATGCACTTTATTGGTCTGAACACAATTGACCGGTTTTAATATCAATATACTTTAAAAATTGTTTTTCCATGAGTTTGTTTCCGAAATTCAACATTTACAAGGTAAATGTGCCTAAGAATTCGCCTCTAACTTGGCTGAAGAAATCCTAGTGTGAATTGGAGGCATACGGAGTTTTTCCTCACTTAAAGCAGCTGATTTTCTCTTTCGAGTGAGGGCTATGGGCTGCCTTGAGGATTTTTGGTTTTTTGGACTCGCGCTTAAACAGCAGCAAAAAATCAACATTCAGTGCGATTTCAATGAAAATTTCTCAGTTCTAGGATACAAACGTTCGCTATGTTAAGAAAAATTTTTAGGTTCGCACTTGCCCCAGTTTGAAAGTTACGATTTTTTTACGGTGAGCGCGTCTTTGTCTGAAAACTTCAATTTTTAGACTCGCGCTTAAACAGCAGCAAAAAATCAACGTTCAGTGCGATTTCAATGAAAATTTCTCAGTTCTAGGATACAAACGTTCGTTATGCTAGGGAAAATTTTCAGGTTCGCACTTGCCCCCGTTTAGAAGTTACGATTTTTTACGGAGAGCGCGCCTTTGGCTGGAAACTTTTATTTTTAGACTCGCGCTTAAACAGCAGCAAAAAATCAACGTTTAGTGCGATTTCAATGAAAATGTCTCCGTTCGAAGATACAAACGTTCGCAATGTTAAGAAAAATTTTCAGGTTCGCACTTGCCCCCGTTTAGAAGTTGTGATTTTTTACGGAGAGCGCGCCTATGGCTGGAAACTTTAATTTTTAGACTCGCGCTTAAACAGCACCAAAAAATCAAGGTTTAGTGCGATTTCAATGAAACTTTCTCAGTTCTAGGATACAAACGTTCGTTATGCTAGGGAAAATTTTCAGGTTTGCACTTGCCCCCGTTTAAAAGTTATGATTTTTTACGGAGAGCGCGCCTTTGCTGGAAACTTTTATTTTTAGACTCGCGCTTAAACAGCACCAAAAAATCAACGTTTAGTGCGATTTCAATGAAACTTTCTCAGTTCTAGGATACAAACGTTCGCTATGTTAGCGAAAATTTTTAGGTTCGCACTTGCCCCCGTTTAGAAGTTATGATTTTTTACGGAGAGCGCGCCTTTGGCTGGAAACTTTAATTTTTAGACTCGCGCTTAAACAGCAGCAAAAAATCAACGTTTAGTGCGATTTCAAT